TGGTGGTGGTATGTCTGGGTGGGATGCCCTTCGGAGAGTCCAAGTGGACTCCATGGGCTGAATGGCCTACTCCCACACCGGGATTCTATGATTGTATGTTTGTATGTTTGTACCGAAAATGACGAGACCATGAGCTGCAACAGTTGGTCAGTTAAAAATAAACTCTGGAAAGGTACACGATCAGGAATATTATGGCCTGAGGGACACAGAGTTCATACAAGTGTGCCTTATCAGTGTTAATTGCTCTGGGGACAACAGATGGAACAAATTTTTGGTGAAACGTACTCAAAGGCCAAATCAGTAAGTGGGAAAAGTGAGAGATCCTAAGTCTCAGAAACAGCATTTGACAATTTTTGAGACTACACCTGTGCTAGCAGGGATGCTGAGACACTTGTCAGAGCTCCATTATTGTACCAACTGCTCAAAATGAAATTCATCACTTCTATTGAAATATCATCTGTCTGTTAATTCAAGGCTAAGCTGTTGTTGATTTTCAGTTTGTCTGTAATAGCGAAGGTTTTAGAAAGGTGAAATTTTGTTAACAGATTTCTTTCATTATGGTCATTTGGGGATTCCTTTCTTTTCAAGTATTGATCTTTCAGAGGATCCTAACAGGAAGAAAGGAGTGGAAAGACACATTAATTAAGTGAGATAAGACCATAAGGCATAGGAGCAGAAATTAGGCCATTCGGCCCATCGAGTCTTTCCGCCACTCAATCATGGCTGATAAGTTCCTCAACCCCATTCTCCTGCTTTCTCCCCATAACCCTTGATAATCAAGAACCCATCTATTTCAGTCTTAAAACGTACTCAATGACCTGGCCTCCACAGCCTTCTGTGGCAGTGAATTCCATGGAGTCACCACTCTCTGGCTGAAGTAGTTTCTCCTTATCCCCATTCTAAAAAGGTCTTCCCTTTACTCTAAGGCTGTGCCCTCGGGTCCTAGACTCTCCTCCCAATGGAAGCATCTTCCCAACATCCACTTTGGCCAGGCCATTCAGGCCATGTCCAGAAATTCTTCTTGTATGTTGTTTCTAACTGTACCACCCTATGAGGCAAAGATTTCTAGATGCCCAGCACCCTCTCAGTGAAAACAATTCTTCTTTATATCCATCCTAAACCTCCTTCCCTTGACCTTAAATCTATGCTCTGTCATTACTGATCCCTCTACTCAGGGGAAAAGTTTCTTTCTAACACCCTTTAAGCCCCCCAAAATTCTGTACACATCAAGTAGGTCCCCCAGTCAGCTTCTCTGCTCTAAGGAAACATCCCAGCCTTGATCTCTGTTCATAGTTGAACTGCTTCAGCCTAAGCCACATTCTTGAGAGTCTGCTCTGCACCCTCTCAAGTGTAATCACGTTCTGCTTGTATAGTGTGTAAACCAGAACTGCACACAGGACTCCAACTACGGCCTGTCTATGTCTTATACAGCTCCATCATGGCCTTTCTGCTCTTCTCTTCTTACCACCTTATCCACCTATCCTGTTACCTTCGAGGATCTGTGGGTGCACATTGATGCTGGGCAGGAGAGTCAGGTCCAAAAATCCAGGAAGGAGGAACTTAATGAGTCATAAAAATGAGGGGAAAGAGGTTGCAGAGAAGAGGGAGCTGTTTTAATCATTTTAAGAAATAAATAGTGGGTACCATTGTAATAAATACTGTATCAATTGGATTGAACAGTTTCATTTAATACATAAATGCATTTATGTTTACATCATCCCAAAGCAGTAGCTGTGTTAGAGACAAATATACAAGCTGTGATCTCACCAGTCTGCTGAAAGCACATACTTTTGATAGCTTTTTGTGTATAAAAGTATTGGTCATTCATTTAAAGAAGGTTTTCTGCTAACTTATGCCATTGTCTGGTGCAAGTTTAAACACTATAGTGTTAAGCAAATTAATGCTTTCCTTGTGTTGTGGCTTTACAGTTAATGGAGAGGTGATGATTATTGAGGACATTGCTGAATTCCTCTAATATGCTTTTTGTTATTTTATATTTTTCTGCTGCAACAGTCCAAATTCTCCATATGTCAATACACCTATAGAGGGTAATGTTACTACATGGCTTCAGCATCTCATAAAGGAATTAGCAAGAATGAAAATGGAGTCCCTGAAAAGCAAAAGGTAACCTCCTACAAAATCAAAAAGCAGCCCTTATCAGAATCTCAGGAGGAGCAAACAAATGTAGTATTTGACTTCTTGAACTGACAATATCTTCAAAGGACTTTGGAGATGGCTGAAGATGGAACTGCAAGTTAACAAGCTCAGAGGCATGATGAGCGTTCTTCAGTTGGGGGGGCGGGGGGGTGATGACAGCAGATTTGAAAGGTCAATAAAAGGACATTTGCAAAATTTGACAGCCTTAGACTACCTATGTATGCGGAGTTTAATCTTAACTGTTCAGAGCAGTGTCAAGGCACTGGGGAAACCAGCAAGTGTAGAAGGTAACTTAGGAAACACAAGAACACCACAAAGGTCCTTTGGGAAGTTGGGACAAATGCACAGAATGAGATCAAAAGTCAAGAAAACTGCACACTTTGCTGAAAAATACTGTGAACATCATGGGAGCAACTGGGACATGAGTTTCATGAGTTCCATTTCTACAATAACAAGGAGCAGACTGCACATTTTCATTATCCTGCAGTCTGAACAACTGCAATTTCAGGGTCAGCAAGATACGAGCAGGACTGATTACATTTATGAAATCTGTTAATATTCAACCCATTATCTTGAGATAAATTGTTTTTACTATTTTTACTTAAATGGGGCAGGAGGTGGAGGGAAGGATGTGTATTTTGCAGACAATGATCATAACTCTGTTAGATTCCAGTTAAAAAAAAGGACAAGGGTGGACCTGAAATCAAAATTCTCAATTGGAAGACAGCTGATTTTAACAAGATCAGATATAATTTGGCAAGAGTGGATAACAGCAGATACTTT